ATTCATAAATCATAAACACCTTGTTTTATAATCGAAGGTACCAATTTAAATTGTAATTTATCACTATCTTATCCTGGTTGGTGGTTTCAACCCCTCTGAAAAATATGAAAGTCAGTTGGGATCATGACATTCCCAATATATGGAAAAATCAAAAAAATGTTTGAAACCACCAACCAGTTACCCTCTGGTAAACTAACATAGCTATTGAAAATTGCCATAGAAATAGTGAGTTTTCCCATGAAAAATGCTGTTTTTCCATAGTTTTTTGTATGTTTACCAGACGGTATCACTATTACTGGCTATTTAAGGGTTTGACATCACCAAAGTCTCCAGGCTTTACCCAGTCGCCACGAGTCACTCAGTCGCCTTGCGACGTCTCTTCAAGTTCTCCTCGAGTTCGATCGCCTGGGTTCACCAAAGGATGGGATGGGTAGCCATGGTTTGGAAGGGATCCATACCCTCCGGTAAACTAACATAACTATGGAAAATCACCATTTTCAGTGGGTAAATCCACTATAAATGGTCATTTTCAATAGCTATGTTAAATTACCAGAGGGTAAATGATACAGCTTTGCTGTCTTATTCAATCACCTTTGCTATACCATCTGGTTATGACTAACATAGCCATGGAAAATCACCATGCTAGTAATAGGTAAACCATCTATTTCTATGGTCCATTTTCCATGGCTATGTTAGTCATAACCAGAGAGTACAGTCGAGGGCTGAAGTCAGAGCAGTGACCGCTTGCGGAAAAGTCGCCACGACTTTGACCCTTGACTGTAGGCTTTGTGATCTGACCAACTAGCAAAATCTGCGGAAAATTCCCAACACCAGAAAAGGTGATTTGACTAAGATGCATGGGGATTTAGAATGATTTACAGGACTTAATAGACAAGTTGGCTTACAACTATAATACCTACATTAGGATCTATAGCGGATATATCGAGCTAGACATGGTAACATGAACATCATGAACCAACAAACATGTCACCGACAAATGGTCCCTAGGCAGGGTCCTAGGGTCGTATGGATGAGGATTCCAAGCACCGATGATCGAAATATCAGGTGTTTAAGACAAGTTTATTGTATATTATATTATATTATATGTGTATATATATATATATATATTATATTGGTATATAATGGTGTATATATATATATTATTTATGGAAACCCCCAAATATCAGGTGTCTGTTTCGCTGTCAATTCTTTTCTGCTCGGACCAGGCCCTTGTTGAGTTTGAATCTGAGCTTTTCTATGCCCTCTGCTGGGATGTTTGCTGAAGTTAGGATCCATACATACCAAATTCATGAAATGTGGAATAAGGATGATGCATAGGAACCCAAAAAAGATAGAAACAGGAAAATCCTACTGAAGTAGTGGCAAATCACTCTTCTATCTTTTGTGGCGGTTGCTATAGGTGGTGAAGTGCATTTAATCAAGAATTTTAAGCTATACGCGCAGTTCTGTAAACCCACTTTTCTTGACTCCAGGATACTATGTAATCCGACGTCACTAGTTCAGTTTTCTGCTGTTTGACCAACCTCTCTCCATTGAATCGTCATGTTTTACGGCAAATCTTGGATAGTCTAGCTGGTGGGAGAAAGAAAAAAACATCAAAATAACAAAGAATCAAGATCAAAATTATCAAGCATTTCGTTGCCCAAACTTTTTAGATATTTCTTGAGCTCTTTTGATGTGCTGGTGATTTACAGCAATTTGCAGACTCGGCAATGGATCCCGTTCAAATCGGATCCAACCGATTGGGGAGATCAACTCCAAATGACTTGGAGGACTTGGAGGTGTCCGTTTTGTCATGGGAGTACCCCCAGTCATCATCCATTTTAAAAGGATGTTCAACTATAAACCAACCAGCTATGGGGTACCCCCATTTTTGGAAACCCCTATATTATGATTTGGATTTATAATGATTAAAATGGTGATGCCCCGCTGTTCACCATCTCAGACCATTTCGCTCACCGCGCCATTCGTGCCTGGGCATCGCGCAAATCTTGCCTCGTCCTGATGCATTTTTTGGGCGGAGCTCAACATCACCTAGCATTTGGGGATGATAGCTACCATAGTGATACTAGGGATGGTTTTTTTCGGGTTTGGGCTTTACCATGGTTTACCACATTACAAAACTTGAAAAGCCCCAGATACCAAATCGAAAAGTGAATTCGATGCATGGTCTTGGTCGGGTCAAACATCAGATGCCCACCACCCCCAGAATTTGTCGTGATTTGTACTGAAACATCCACCTTTGGGTGCCAATGTTCTTGACCCGTACCCAATTGAATTATGTCGAAACCTTCAAAATTGCAAAGACATGTTTAAGAAAACTCGCCAAGAAGACCCTGCCATTCATGCAGGTTGAGTAGCCAGGTCTAACTAACTGAGGTAGTCAGTTCAAGCTAGTTCTGACTGGAGGCTAATCTTTCTGGGGAACTGTGGGTACATCCCATCACTGCCGCCTCTAACTCAATGATAAGCCACCCCCAATGGAGGCGTATGAAATTGGGTCTGCCCCTATTTGAGTGACTCAATCTTGAAGCCGCACACGTTTTCATACTGGGTCTAGTTTATTCATCCCGTAATAATTAGCAAGACCCTCCATATGGGCCCGAAATAAATAGGACCAGTACTTAACCAACGGCTTCTCGAGGGTATATGTAATATGAACGGTGACTGGTTTACCACGGCTCTACCACATAATTCGACAATTCAATCCACATTTACTAGTAAAAAGATTACCCATGATTCGACTGCTAGGTCATGCTAAATCATGCAAAAATACCAATTTGGGTACAGTAGTCACTTCACCCAACACCATACCCATTAATACTTACAATCCTCCCAACTAACATAGACCCTGTCGTGAGATCCATGAGTCGGGGGTTGAAGACGAGGCTCCACATGTTCCACTACAAATTGTCTATTTTCACGGTAAATCCACATTTGTTGCATACTTGGATGTGCATCCCAGATAGGATCCGCGGTTTATAATCTACATTGATATATTACATTATATAACTGATATATAACCCATTATCCAATCTCAGTGGGATATAATATGGTTGCTACATGTTCATCATGTTACTATATATATATACTGTACACACTACATCTTATTACTACGTTCTGGCAAACTAACATAACTGTGGGAAATCACCACTTTTAATAGGTAAATCAACTATAAATGGGCCATGTTCAATAGCTATGTTACCATGTTAGTTTACTGCAGGGTATCCTTCTGATCTACTATCATTAACTATCATTCACTATCAGTAACTATAGTTAAACATAGTTATATCATATATCATGTTATATCCCATTGTCTATACGTAGCTATCTGTTGATTTATAACCCCATTAACTAATTTGTTTAATCCACTTCCCAACCCAAGGAACCCATGGGCCGCCGTCGGGGCCGCTGGGCCACCGCACTGCATAGCTTTGACCAACTTCTCGTGGGCTTCGGCTCTTCTCGTCACCTCGGCCGAGAATCGATGAAAACGAGGAAGACAGAGGGATTTGAAGCAGAAATGGTGAGTTAATGGATAGTCATGGATAGTAATGGAAAATATACCATGGATAGTAATGGATAGTAATGAATCTCAATTGATATTAATGGTGATTTAAGGTGATTGAATCCACAAAACAGGGCGAAATCAGGAAGAAAACTGCTTTACGAAGCGTCCTAGCTGCTCTTTCCAATCATATAAAACCCCACAATCATCCAAAAATGCTGGTTTTTGCTGGTCTCCCACTAGTTTGATGATGTTTGATGCACCCCTCTTGAGGTTTCTCACCTTCGCCAGTGTGATGGATGAGTCCATCAAAAAGGATGCTCGACACAGGATCAAAAAGGATCTACCTCCTGGTAAATTAACAGTTGGACCCTGAAAATCACCAATTTTTCATGGTTTCACTAGTCTTCCAAGCCCGATGACTGCCAGGGTCGAACTGTTAATTTACCAGAGGGTAACAAAAATGTGATGTTGGCCAATCAAGATAAGAATTGAGGACTCCAACCTAGTCAGGAGCATTTAGTCTACACGTCTTTTTTCAACAAGGCTCTGATACGAACCGAATATAATCCATTCACCCACCAGAGCCCTGGCTACATCGGTGTCCCTGTTTCGCAAGCTAGCCTGTAGCAAACTGAGTTGGCAAATCGGAAAAATTTGTTGTGTCCATGTATAAAAGAGATGGTTATGAGATAAAATGTTCTAAAGATGTTTCATGGTTTTGGTTGAGTTGCCGTATTTTTGTTTGGTCTCAGACCTATTTTCGCCTGCCACATGTGATGAACTGGGCATTACCCATCATTCTCCTTTCACCCATCATATCCCTGTTGTATCCCATGGGATGTCCCCAATATCACCAGCTAAAAAATCCCCACCTTTACCATTCTTAGAGTGCTTTAAACATCCGAGGAAACATCCTATGATATCCCCATCATATCCCATGAATTGGTCACTTTGATACCCAACAGTTGGTTTGTTGACCTCCCAACAGTTCAACCTTTAGATACTTTTAGGGGGTCGGGGGTCACGTGGTGCTTATCCACCACCAGAAACTGTAAATTATGTGTGAGTCCGTGTGGCTATAATCCATCCAATTGGTGCTTGTTGGTTCCAACTTCATCTTATTTGAGCAGGGTGCAAAACTTTCTGTCATCTTCGACTAGCTTGTTTTTGTGTCGTTTCCCCCTGGAGAATTGGAGTCCCCAGTATACTGGGTAGTATAACCCCTCCACAAATCATCAACCAAACATCATTTTTCAATAATTATCTGCCCATATGTATGATGCTTATCTAGAACTGCTGGGTTTTCAACACCCATCTAAGGGATTTCACCTGCATTTCAGTGGTGGATTTAAAACCCCAAGAACTCAAAAATCTGGAAAACCCCAGAAGGTAAATCCTCCACAATTACCTCCACAAAAATGATGGCTTCATGCGATGGTTGCATTGGGTGCAAACCACATTCAATTGTATTATATAATTATTATTATCTACCATAAACATTAACCAACGTTGATCAATTATATATATATGTATATATATATCCCCATATGCTTGATGGTTAAAGCCCCTTACACCTCCTTACTAATGATTCAATTCACACTCAATATATATATATATATAACCATCTGCTTCAATACTAAGTCATTGTCTAATTTAGGTAAAATTGATTTGGGGGTACCACTATTTCAGGAAACCATAGAATCATTAACCAACACGGGGGGCATACGACCCAGTGGCCACTTGTTTCTGCATCTTGTCGTGTCGCTCGGCACCTCGGACCCCAGATGGCATAGGACCAACGCCATCGCAGTTGGCTGATGTAATCAGCAAAAATGGGGGGAACTGAATCAAAAAAAACGGGAATTATAACCAACAAATTTGTACAAATCTATACAAATCTCAGCTTCACTGGGTTGGTTTCTGAGGGAATTGTGCGGTTAACACTGCAGTTTTGACTTTTGACCGAGGCGTTTCCAGCTCAAACTTTCCCTGGAGTCAATTCTGGGAAGGGCTAGAAGGAAGCAAGTCAGTGCGGGGTTCCATTTCCAGTTTCAATTAGTAGTCCATTTCAAAGACGTGTTCTACTTCCATGGATCGTCATTTCAGAAGCAACTTAGGCTGTGGTAAAATGGGATATCAGACAAATTCTCAGTTTAGTTGAAAAAGATGATTGTAAATGATCGCAATGATTATATGACTCTATATATAATTCAGAGGAATTGGGATGCTTCATTGTCAGACGAACCCACTTGGCATCCGCACATGCTTGAATTCTCTCAAGTTTTTCCTTCTCCGTGTCGATTGCACGCTGAATCTGCAGTCAAGATTGGAGCTTGTCGTTTTGTCAACGTGCAGGGCGTGAAACAGTGCCATGTCTATGAGGAAAGGTGCAGATAATCCTCATAGTTTTGAGATGTTTTGAGCGTAAGGGTCTGAATTATTAAATAATTATTATTAAATAATTATTATTATCACTAATTATTATAATGATTATGTATATGATGTATATAAAAATGTTTTAAAAAAAGGAATGATGTGGTACCAAACATATCCCAAATTCCTCAAAATGACCAGCCTTTTGCACAGTGGTACCCTCTTCGGGCTTGACACATCCCCACGTTTCATTCGGTTGCCTCCCAAAAAGTATGACCGGCCCTCCACTACTGAGCTGGAACTATCATTCCAGCTACTTTTGGTGGCCAGTAGCCGAATTGGGGCCCTACAGGCACTTTATACCTGGAAAAACACCATCAATGACCTGGCTATGTTGGGTGGTATTGGGGCTACAATCACCACTTTCCAATTCCTTAGGTAAATTGATACTAATTCTTCAAGAATGCGACATCATCACATCATCACATCACTGGATGCTTCATCAAATGATGTCAATTTGCTATCAGCTACCCTCTGGTTATGTCAAAATAGCTATTGAAAATGAGCATAGAAATAGTGGATTTTCCCAGCTATAAAATGGTGATTTCCCATAGCTATGTTAGTTCACCAGAGGGTATCGCCAGTGAGCCCCCCTTTCGGCTTCTCCGTTCACTGCGTTCACCCCGTTCAATTGTCACCCTTACCATCCGACAAAACCGTCACTGGCGGCTGTGGAGGAACCGCTGCACCCAACGACTATCCTTTGGTTCCTCCCACATGAGCCATGGTCAATACTCACTATATGGTTGATGGTCATCCCATCCATAATAAGGATCCAAAAATAATGGTTATTATAAATCCCGAGTGGAACCATTGGATGACTAGCCCCTATTAATGGTTATTAACCATGAGTATTGACCACAGCTCACATGGCAACTATTTAAGCCCCATCCAAAGTGATCCGCACGTGAAAAGAAGAACAGATCTTGCATGCATCAAACTATGCCTAAAAAGCAGTTCATCAAATCCAACCATTCATCAGCAGCGCCTTACTTAGCATCTTTATCGCTCAAACTGACTCGAACTCGCATGGGTTGCTAGAGCCCAATGGTTTTCAGTCAGATATATAAGCAGGGGAAAATCAGGTGCCTAAATTGGGGAGGTGTAAGGTCTCTAAAAGGCCTTACAGTTTGGTGCTTGAGCCGCCTGAAAACATGCAAAAGTCAGTGCGAATCATCATCCAAAATACATCCAAAATACATCAACATACCATGGTTGAAAAATGTTGAACATAAAAATCTGTGAAACCACCAGCTACATACCCAACAATCATCATCAATATCATCAACAATCATCATCTGTTACCCTCTGGTGAACTAACATAGCTATGGAAAATCACCATGTTTAATGGGTAAATCCACTATTTCTATGCTCATTTTCAATAGCTACTTTGACATAACCAGAGGGTACCCAATACAATCATTACATCCCCATGAAAAAACCCGCATTTTCGCAGAGTTCGCCTCTGCCTGCGAACGCATCTTCAAAGCGTTCAATTTGGCATCGCCTTCCAACCTCGGAACGGGGGCACTGGTTATCCATCCCGTTGGGGGAATCCTATGGGGATATAAAATCCATTACCCTCTGGTAAACTAACATAGCTATTGAAAATGGCCATAGAAATAGTGGATTTTCCCATTAAAAATGGTGATTTTCCATAGTTATGTTAAATTACCAGAGGGTAAAATCCCTATGAATGGACTGATGACCATCCCCCAACATGAGCAAGTCAGCCAAGTTTTCACCATGGCACATATGGGGTTCCCCAAAAATCCGGTTACCTATCGAAGAGCTAGAGATTGTTTGGAGCAAACCTAAAAGCAGGAGAACATGTCAGTTTCGTCTATTTCTTCTTCCCGCTTTCGGTCGTTTTGCTTCCGTATCACATCTGTGCCGCCTCTTTGATGCGAGCATTCTCCATCATTAGTGGGCATAAAAATTGTGACCTGGGCACATTTACCTTCCACCTATGGGCTATGGCCTAGAAATTTTGGGTCTCCAGTCATTCAGCATATTTCATCTGCAGGTGGCATCTTTGTGGCAACCCCAACCGTTCCAACCCAGCCATCCTGTCACTTTACTGTGATGGATCACAAGAAACCAACTGGATCGATATGGATCATTACTGCAGGTATGGTTTGAATTGAGGGAAACTTAAGATGAAACCAGAAAATGGAAAGGTTGCGTCACTGCCCAAAAAAACAAAATGTGTGGATAGCTGAAATGGCTCATTTTTCAAGAATTTTGAGTGCCACATACTTTGGTCCATGTGCTACCCATGAGCAACTTTTGATACCTATACAAGAATCGTATCTTTAGCTGGTTTGTGTATGTGTATCCGAAAATCAAGGTATTGAAGTACCTATCAAGCCTATCAAGGTTTGCCCAGTTACTCAAAATCAAACAATCTGGGTCAATTACAATAATTCACCAATCTGAAAAGCTCGTCTTGCGTGGGATAATTAGTTTCTGTACCCCTTACTAAGCAGCATTCCAGTGAGGTTGCAGTGAGGTGGTTCTAATTTATCCAGATACATCCCATTCTATCCCCATATTGCCAGTGATATTCCCAGTAGATCTCCAATCACATCCCATTTAAATCCCATTTAAATCCCATTAAACAAATTTAAACACCTCTTTTCTTGGTTTTCTTGAACCATTCCCCCGCACCGCTGGCCCGCTGGTCTCCCCTGCGGTTCTTCCACGGTCTCGCAGAATTTCTGGCGCAGCAAGATCGGTTGAATCGCTTGGAAGGATTCAACGTATCCATGGAGATAGATGTGGAAAACCCCTATGGGGAAACTGCAGGAAAATATTATATATATATACAGTCTACATATGGTTGATTTTCCACCATCTAGGTGAGTTATCCGAATTGGTATCTAAGAATTGTAATATTGCGGATATCAGATGATATTTTTGATGGTGATATTAGGGGAATATGTGAATATCATTGGGATATACGTTATTTATCTTTATTTAATTATCTGGTCTGACCATTGCTGCTTGAAATCCAGCGTGTTTTCTTCAAAAAATCCCAGATCTTGGTGATCTTAAAGCGGCTTTCTGGACCCATGTTCCACCCCCAAACCTTGGGATTTTCCCAAAAAAAATGAGGCTTTTCGTGGATTTTCCCTCTTCCATGGATTCAGTTACCCTCTGGTAAACGTTTACATAACTATGGAAAGATCCACCCATTTTTCATGGGAAAACTCACTATTTAAATGGCCATTTTCAATAGCTATTTTGACATAATGGGAAAACTCACTATAAATGGCCATTTTCAATAGCTATTTTGACATAATGGGAAAACTCACTATAAATGGCCATTTTCAATAGCGATGTAACAAACTACCAGAGGGTATATCCAGTTCTAGGGTCTGACAAGGCGCCCCACCTGTTTCAGAAGCTTCTCGACCCGTTTCCCTTTGGCTTCCGCCTGCGCATTCCCCGTGAGCTGAACATGAAACTTTTGGGGGAATCATGGGGAAGTCGTGTGAAAATCTCTGCGAAATCTGTGAAAATCTCTGGTTATGACTAACAGTTTGCTATTGAAAATCACCATTTATAGTGAGTTTTCCCATTGAAAATGGTGATTTTCCATAGTTATGTTAAATTACCAGAGGGTATCTGATATCTGGTGGTTTGGAAACCTCTGAAAAATATGAGTCAATGGGAAGGATGACATCCCATATATGATGGAAAATAAAAAATGTTCCAAACCACCAACCAGATATATAATGGGCATACAATGGGAATACGATGGTTAATGATGGTTTACAATGGTTCACGATGGTCAATAACCATGTTTGATGGGATTTAAGTAGTCAAATGGCGATATGTTATGATGAGGTATGATTATTGATGCATAATATGATAGTATGCAGGATATGTTGAGGATATACTGTAACATCGATATAATGGGCATATATAACTTGTAGGAATATAGTATTCCTAGCAGCTAGGAACAATGGGGTTTTCCATGGGGATATGCTAGAGTGTTTTAGTAGGCGGCTATAAAATAGGGTAATATCATCAATAATATTGGGTTTACTCAGCCTGTCATATTAAAAACAACTTAATCAACTTAACAACACATGTTTTACTAAATTAACTCTCCATGTTTAGGGTAATATCATCAATTTATGATGACATCAATGGGTAAAAACTCAGCCTGGTGGAAACACGGGGTGCCAGTGGCGGTGAATCCAACGTTGTCCCGTATACATCCAACGGTTGGGTTGGTGAAATCCGAGTGTTATGTAAGGGGGATTTCCAACTGGATTTTTTTTCGATCCCCAATATACAAAGGATATCATTTTGGATGGTATAACCCGCTATAACCAACCAACAGGGGTTTTGCTATAATATGCTATAATAACCAACCAACAGGGGTTTTGAAGACTTCTGAAATGAAGTAGTGCTTTGACCAGCAAAATGGGGGATGTTCGGGTTTGGGAATGATGAAATGGGTTTGGGGAAATATTGTGATTTCTCGCAGTCAAAGGAGACATCATCAGCAAGGGTTTGGATTCATGGTCAAAAGAGGGATTTAAGCAACAGAAACAGTGGATTTGATTGAATCGGCCAAAAATTACGCCCGAAGCATCCCGAAGCAATCAAATAGAGGCTTTGACCAGCAAAATTGAATGGTTTCAATGGTACTTCGCCCCCCCAGTCTGGACAACTCAGGTGATGCGTGTGGAGGAACGAACACGGTTCCCCGTGTTCAAAATACGTAATGGATAGCTAGTCAAATGTGGACGTGAAGTAATTCAGAAAGTCAGGGGCTACACACAGTGACCCTACCGATGGGTCCAACGGATCCAACTATCAATGACTTACCCGGCCTGGTAAACTAACAGTTTGCTATTGAAAATGGCCCATTTATAGTGAGTTTTCCCATTAAAAATGATGATTTTCCATAGTTACCAGTACGTTAGTTTACCAGAGGGTACCATCCCCAAATGCTAGAAGTTGTGGCATCGAATCCAAGAAAAATATTGCCAAAATTGTCCCTTGCCTCAACTTCCCTCCAAAGATTTTGTTGTTTTCTCTCCCATAGTTCTTGCCGACCTGGCGAAAATCTCCAGAGGAGAAACGTGAGTCCGGGAATCGGAACGAGATCCTACTGTATCAGTTTCAAATTAGTAAAAAAAAATATCTTTGAAAAAAAACACATGTTTCGGATAAAAAAAAATGAAACTACGTTTGAAATATGACTGAAATATCTGAGAAATCACCGCATCTCCATTCTTCAAATGAATCCGAAGCTCTGGCTTCACAGCCTGAGAAGCCAATGGAAATCAATGGGCAGCGAGAACAAAATCCAGGTGAATCTGCATGTCATGAAATATCTGTCACATTCTGTCACTATATAATATATATATATATATGTATATATATATCAACCATTATCACTCATCCTTTACGCAAAGAATAATATCTTTGAATTCCTGTGTCTAACAAAGATGACGAGACTGAGACTTTTTGTGTTTCGTTTGACATCTTAAACATGTTGTGTGCCTCCATTTTCGGGATGTGGCACAACTAACAAATCTCAAACATCCCAGTCGATCTCAGCAAAACAAATCGCTAGGCCATTGGAAACCTGGTGCTTGATTTTGCAATGGTAATGCAACATATATTCATATTTAATGTATATTGCCTGCGCATAGCTGAAACACACACTGCAATATACTTGAAACATCTTGAAACCACAAACTAAATAAACATCCAAATACATGTATATAGACTTGCACGCCGTTTTCGAGGTAGGAAGTTTATCTAGCCACGTGTTTTTCGCAGTTTCCACGGGAATCAACCATCAAGAGACGGTGACATTGTTCAACATGGTGACTCGGGCTGCGCGATTCCCTTGGCTCCCCAACGAGCAGCAGGTACCACAGAAACCACCTGCCAAGTTCGTGCTGGCAGTTCATCCAAGTTCACCACCGAGAGGTGGGATTTGTCGTGAATCTGTTTCTATGTACGCAAACGATATTACATATATATATACAATATATATATATATATTCAATATATCTTTTTGTTCAATATATATATATATATGCACGGGTATGATGTAAATTTGGCAGGTGGTGTGGGGGTGCCCAATGGAGCAACAGGTATGAGGTATGTAACATTGGGAATGTGAGCGTTTGAGTCTTACTCAATTCAATAATCCGTTCCAAGCAGGAAACAAAGTGAACAGAATTTATATTTTGTAAATAGTGTTGTGAAAAATATGTGTATAGGTATGATATACCATAGATTGTAATCAGCATCATGACAATTTCAAATCCCAACTTTTGATGGTGAAGTATACAAGATATGGTGATTCTCTGTCCATTTAGTAAACGTGGGACACGTTGACATGTGTACACTCAAACTTTTCCACCAAAGTTGTGGACTCGACTCAGTTTGTCGACCAAAACCAGAAGCATCTTGGCACCAAAGTTTCTGGTTTAACCGCAATCAGAAAATAAGACCCAGAAATCCAATGGAAGTTCCAATCACAAACATGAAACCATCGGTCAATCCGCATGGTCTGCATCGACCATATTAACCTTCGGGTCCTGCTCCCATGGTCAAGATCCAATTTTGGGCGATACACCACTCAAGATTCACCTGGAACCCAAGAATCACTACGTCAAAACTGTTCAAACTCAATCCTTCAACAAAAAACAGGGCACCCTTGAAAAGGTTAGAATCGAATTTCCGTAAAACCTCTATTGTTGACTTCTTTTCAAGAGAATTTCTGCAGTTTTTTCGCGCGAGAGGCTGCACCTTTCTGGGGCTTTTTCCAGGATCAGCCATACCGCGCCTCAGTAATGTGCAGCTGAGATCACCGCAGTGGATTGGTTACAGGAAGGAGCCCCCAAACCATAGGTAAATAGAGGATTTCATCATCAAAAATTGGGGAAAATTAGGATTTAACCAGCTAAAAAAGATCGGTAAGTTGGTTTACTGGGTTGCAGTTTTACTGGGCTTTGTAATGGATATATCAAATGATATTATACTTATATGGGGTTCCCCTTCTTCTGATGAACATGTTATTTGGTAAATTATTGGTTTTCCGGTCAAATAGGTCCTGAAAAAAAAAAACAGCATTCCTGGGACACTTACAGTGCCAAACTGTCTTGAACTAGGCTCAGTTGGACTGGCTGGACTATATCATGAATGCGATTAAGACTATGACTAATTTTAGTGGCAGTATATCATACAGGCACTGTTTGGACTGTATTCAGTTGGACTAGTACAATGAGATTCTAAACTAGTTCCCGTAGCAAACATATCTCGACCAAAACATACTCTGGCTTACTTTCTTAACATACATACATACATTTAAAATGATTATACATTATATATATACACAGTGTATATACATGCAGTATATGTATACAGTATGTATGTATGTATGTATGTATGTATGTATGTATGTAATGTAATGTAATGTAATGTAATGTAATGTAATGCAATGCAATGCAATGGAATGGAATGTAATGTAATGCAATGCAATGTAATGTAATGTAATGTATGTATGTATGCATGCATGCATGTATGTATATATATATACAGTATACATATATATATACAGTATACATATATATATATATATTTAATTCACATACGACATGAGTGTATGCATACGCGAGAAATGCTAATGTCGGCTGGAAAACACCCGGCTGGTGTGTGTGTGTGTGTGTTTTTTCGCATAAACAATACGGGGATTACGCAGCTATGACATGTTGTGACAAGCACTACTAGGCTGTAAGTAGATATTCTTTTTCGCAGAATTTACATCATTTTAACATCCAACGAATAAAACTTATGATACAACTTATGATATTATTAATATTGCGATTTGTGAATCCACTTTTCCATATATATATATATTTATACAGAATATATATATATACATCTGGTATACCTTATTCAATCCACTGGCAAAGCTGAGCTCCGTGCGGCTGCGGCGGGGGCGGAGCGCCGCAAGTGAGGTCCTCTGTGAATCGGAATAAAAATGGGAAACTCATGGGATTTAAAGGGAATGTACTGGGATATAATAGAATATTATATACATACCGTGTATATATATATATATGATATACGTATTTATATATATGTGTGTATATATATATATACAGTATAGCAATGATTATGGATATGAATTAACAATATAAGCGGTTTGGCGGAGAAGAATCTAATGAGAAATCGAGATATAAGATGATATAAGACTAATCATCGTATGGGGATATGATATATAGAAACTTACTGGGAAATTCACTGGCCATTTGTAGTTGATATACCCATTAAAAATAGTGATTTCAATAGCTTTTTGTATGTTTACCAGGCCGGGTACCAAGCCTGGTTATTTTGGATGGAGCTCAGTGGAGCATTGATGACGGCTACGGCTTAGCAGACTCACAGACTCGCATCGCGCCACGGGATTTTTCGCCCTGTCGCGTAACGCGTAACGCGACCCCAGAATGAAGTGATTTATATATATATATATAGATATCACATATATGTGTATATATATATAGACAATTCCCAAGTAAAAGCTCTATTTTGAACTAAGCAATCCTTAAAGAATTCGACCAAATATCTGCAAAATATCTGCAAAATTCAGGCTTTTAAGCTCGACCTATCAACTCAACATGGCAATGGGATATCTATGGCTGTTTACCAGAGGGCAATTTAAGGTGGTATTGCTGAAAATCATGTCCCTGCCCCCCCAAAAAGAAACGTATATATTCCAGATTGCTCGAAATACCAGACTGCTCGTCAATCTTCTGGGCTCATTGCTACATCAATGGAGGTGCCAAAATGTTGATAGCCAACCTCACCCGGTAAAGAAGAAACGAGTTTATGTATACAGTGTATACACATTCACTGTGTTTATACTAAAAAACATCCATTCATTGCAGTTGAACTGCCCTTAACCAAGTTTTCCATAGATTTGGGGGGTTCACCCACAAAACAAAACGCAATCCCTCCGTGTCAGAGAGTCCTCCACGCTGCAACCCAGGATCTGCACGGCAAGCGAAGGGAGCAAGAGCCATGATGAAAACGCTTGGTTTATTCCACCACCAACAACACCAAGTAGGCTGTATCCTCTGAAACATATACAGAGACGTATGTATATTATATATATACAATCATATACATATATACAACTATACCGTATATGTATGTATGTAAATATATATATGTATATATGTACATATGATCAGCGCCCTAATCCTCAATATGAGGGTTCTGGGGGGGACGGTGACTATACTCATATATATATACATATATATATATGTGATATCTATAGATATCCACCATTGACATATGATCCACACGGCCAAGATCTGGGATCGACATCCATACCGTCAGGGACGACGACTCACCCGATGGTTGCTACTGGAAAACTGGAAACATGGCTGACTGGTTGGTGGTGGTTCGCCTACCCCTCTGAAAAAATAGGAGTTCGTCAAATGGAATGATGACATTCCCATTTTTTTTAGATGGAAAAATATTTTTGTACATAATCTTCCAAAGCACCAGCCAGCTGATGGTTTATACTTGAAACAGATTTTTTTCACCAATTCTTAGCGGTCAACATCCATGGGCGGGCTGATGTACCCATGGAGCATCTGAAGATGCTCGATGTCCCATGGAACTGTTGGTGGCCTCATCTATCCACAGAATCCCATAAACCCTACCATTTTCAGAGACATCTATGGTCCATATATCTGCATAAATTATGTGTATATATATATATTGTATCAACCTAAAATCATGATAATCATGTCATTTTGGAAGAGTTACCGGTACATTCACCATGTATCTCGAGATGTCGCGACATGAGGTCGTTATGATTTGTGCATCCAAACTATTTCTTTTCCAGGTCGATATTCACCCCCATTTTGGTAGGTCTTTGACCCATTTTGATCCTATTTAACTCGTTAGTTAAATAGCCATTTAAAGTGTAGGTCTGAAAAACCTGGGATTTTCCATGGCCATTTTCATGGGGATCCTGAGGAACCACTGGATTTGATCATCCGCGGATACGCCTGCATCGCCACGACCATGCGTGGGTCATCCAAACTCAAACGTGCAGAGGTGGGCGCCTGCGACGATCAGAGCCCTTGATGGGAATATACTGGGGATATGCGGGATCTAAGATATGTATATATATATATGGGTATGGGTCAAAATTAGGTACCCCAAAATTATGGATGGTTAATACTACACTAGACTAACATCTGTGGTTCCCTAGGTCTTCTATTTTGACCCACATCCATATATACCAATGATTTTTGCAGAGGTGATTCCGAATAGTTCGGTTGGTAAGGTAAGTTCGAAATTTCTAGGTAGAAGCAAGGAAACATTGGCATTTAACCAACCGTCTTGTAGGGAGTTCGTTCATCGATTTATGAGAGTAAAGGTGGTAAACACTTCACTGGGTTAACTAAGTTCGGTTTCTGGTAGATACAGTGAACTAGTTGACAGGCTCATAATAGGGTTATAAAGCAACAAACATAAGTCAGGGGGCTTATGGTGATGGGTCATTTCTGGTACACAAAACAGAAATGCTGCCATTGAAAATTGGGATGGTCTAAAAGAAGCGGTGTTTAGCCAATGCCAAATATTTCTTCACTTGGGGATCCTGTCGACCACAGGAACCGGATATGATGGGTATGTGGTCATGGACATATACAGTATATAAAGTGTGACCACAATGGCCATGGGATATAACTAACCGACCAGCTCAACGGGCTATCCCAGTTACATCAAACTAATAACCAAATTGGCGATAGTTTATGGCATTAGGTTTACCACGGTAAATAGGCGTGTAATCACCTGCATGGTCAGACTTCAAAATAGGCTATTACAGTATGTGCTAGAGTGCTTTGACATGGCTTTATATGCGTATGCATGTTCGTAAAAATTGATGCAATGGGTCAAAATAGGTATATAGTGCAATTATGTAAGAAAGAAGAAACATGAAATGGGAAATTCAACTATCAAAAACAATGGGATACTCATGGATAGTCTATAGTACATAAGCAGCAATCATGGGATGCTACCCTCTTTTAATCAAAAAAACATATCAGCCATTAATATCCATTAATTTCTATTAATTTCAATGGGGGCTTTGTCAGCCAGTCATATTATATGCCACATTGCTGTATAATCCTTATAATTTTGATCAAGGTGGATCCTCGCAAGTGTACACTGCATATCTTCGGGCCCGTTTCTTTGCATCTTTGAGTTTGCTCACCACGGTCTTTGCATCCGCAGTCACCAGCAGTTTTACCAGTCGTTCACTGGTCATCCCTTAAATTTCCAGGTGGTTTCTGTGGGGGTCCAGGTGGTTTCTGTCATTCCCATGGACCATGGGACCATGGATTCGATAAAATGATCGATCACCACTTCGCCATATCCGGCTCCGCCCTGTATCAACCAGCAACGAGTTGCGCTAGATCCCCATACCGCAGCTATGGGGTAACTCTGCGCTTCTAGTAGCCAAGATCTATAAAATGTGAGCCATTGATCCATTGAAAATAGCCCGTATTCTCTCATCGCAATGAACAGTGGCGTCCTTCTTTTGGGTTCATCATTCTGGCAGAATCCCTTTGAACAACTGGATGTCCACTCTCCGCTAAAGTATGGACAGCCAATCATGTTTCTTGATGGTATCCCATTGATCTTATACGAGATCCCCAGTTGCGTCAATAGTGCCATCAGCTGCACACATAACTACCAAATCAAGATCCAAGTGTGGTTTCTTTTTTGCTGAAAACTCACGGCGTCATTAGTTGACAAATGACCTACCGGTTGTATCCCAATTCTGGATGGTCAATTCCCACATGTATATAGCTTGTGAACCAATCACATTAGTCTTATGATGTCTTATGAACCAATCAAAAGTTCGGCCATTTCAGTCCGCTCGTCTCGCCTCCTCTGGGACAGTCGCAGACATCGACATAGCCTTCAGCAAGGTCGGTGCCTCACCTTGGCTTCACCCGGCGGCTGGTGATTTGAAAACTTCTTGGGATATTTCTTAACAAAAGAAACGTAAAAGTTGGAGTTCACCGGCTCTTGATATGTTCTGAGAATTTCTGAGATATGTTTAAAAAAATGGATTTCACCTCGTAATCGTGACGCTGAGAAACTGCCTCCTCCATTGACTATGGCGCGTTCAGCCATGGCGACGGCGAGAAAATCCCTTAGTTCCCTTAGTCTGCTTCAAGTGATGACACAAGTTGACTCGTGGGGTCCCAAGTTGGGTGACATGGAAACGCATGTTGAGGGTTTACCAGGGACCAAAAACACCACTGTTGGGGGAGGTCATGTCAGAGTTCTACTAGATCTTTGATGAGAATCCACTCTCTGAGTTGGTTGGTTAAAAGATCCCATGTTTCTTGGTGAAAGTCCACCTTTTGGGTTGTTGCGCAACACACCAACACGCCATGCGTCCTGCCATGGCCGCAAAGGCTGAGCCAAAATTCGGCAATCATCAGGATCGCATTTGTCATCCGAATAGTAACAATGGTAGCGTGGTAAACATCATATTAAACCTCCAGCTTTGGAGGTTTGTTACCACCCATGTCGGGTGAAATAGGTGATGGTTTCACATTTTAGTGGCAACAATATTAGAATCACTGCAATCATTCTGGATGATTGGTACTAATTCACCAACATCAAAAGTTCGGCCATTTAAGGGATAGTTCCCTTATACATTCCCCATCACTTGCAGTGACGTCGCGGTGAGGTGGTTCAAATGATCATCGTCGTCAACATACACATCCGTGTTGCGAAACACCAATTCAGAAATATATACAGTAATAGTTATTCATAGTTATTCATCATCATCACCACCACCATCATCATCATCATCATCATCAGGTGGCAGTGGTGCATGGTGGAGCATGGCCTCGACATCTCCCGGGGCTCACCGCCCTTGTTTTCACATCCATCAGCGATGGCCGTTGTGCCGAAAACGGAAAAGAACATGGATGGCCAAGGGGCCCACCTGTAATAAGCGCTGGATCACTGGGTAATTTTTGTTCAAGGGCCGTGACCTGCTTGGCTACGCCCCAGTGGCTTGTCCCAAAAACAGAAAATGTCGCGGAAATCATGGGACCGTCATCCTGGACGGTGGTTTTTTACCGACACAAAAATATGTTTACGGAACCATGGGAGATGACCATCACCGCTGAGCGGTTCACATGTTTCCATGCCAGAGAAAAAATCCAAAGCTGGCCATCCAAGAACTAGGCAGCCAGGGGTTTCTGAGCGCTGCCAAAGTTTAAGTTGTTACCCTCTGGTAAATTAACATAGATCCTGGCAGATAGGGGTTGGAAGACTAGTGAAACCATTAAAAATTGGCTATTTTCAGGGTCTATGTTTATTTACCAGAGGGTACAACTTTTTGGGCCATTTCCCAGCCGTGTGAAAATTACTGTGGATTTGCAGTTTTGTAAACATCTTGGCTTTAGATGCTTCGGTGGCAGCGTTCAGTTGGTCTCTCTTGGGAAGGGCTGTGGCCGTTTTAGCCATGGCCCCTGCTCCAACCCCCCATGCAGGGCCACAGGCGTCCGATCGTAGCGAGTTTTTTGGCTATGGGTACATAATTGTATGTACATATACATCATTTTAATACATATCTTGTTATATTATGAAAATTATTCATATATCATATGTATTTATGTATATATATACAATTTATATAGATATGATATATATATATATATATATATGTGCAGTATACATGGGACAATCCCACTTGAGGGTTTTACTAATCCGAATCAGCAGTTTATTAGGCCTACAGCTTTGTGAGTTGTGCACCCCGAATTGTTCATGATGATAAACTCATCCATACTTGTTCAGCCAACTTAGCAAGTGGGTCATAACCCCAGCTATAGCTGGACTAACCCTACTTACCCTGCGGTAACTACATCTAAAATATATACGGATTTTTTAATATACAAACTGGTATTTTAGACTACCTCCGGGAAGGTTTTCCTTGGCCCGCCCGGCCGTTCAAACATACGGAATCCAATTCATTTAAACACGGGGCCTTGTGGTCTGGCCCGTCCACATATTTAAATGGTGTTACTGTACTTGCTCTACCTATAACATCCTGTAACTGGAGTTATAACCCACTTACGAAGTGGGGTGGACCATCAAGTACTGAGTCCAATTCTTTTTGAGTAATTATTTATATATATATAGTTAAAATGGTCATGTTGGTTTGTCCAAATAAAAACAGTACATACCTACCCTCCAATCTAAGAGTTTAAAACTCTCATCTTCTCCAGTCAAATTTTTACTGTGGGCTATCCACTGGGTATCCCGCAGATCACCCATATTTTGTTCGTCGATTTGCAACTTTCTCAGTGTCTCTGCCATATCTTCCTGATTACCCTCTGGTGAACTAACATAGCAATGGAAAATGGCTATTTATAGTGGATTTTCCCATTAAAAATGGTGATTTTCCATAGTTATGTTAGTTCACCAGAGGGTATCCGAATCGGGCGCGTTGTAGCCATGGCCCAAACCGTGAGCTTGCTTTTGGGCCTCAATTCCCGGATGTGGTTTGAGGGAATCCCATGGTGTGGCAATTTTTCATTGGGAACATGAGGCTTTAAAACACGGGACTTTGGGGTACCATGTTTTCACTCAACCCAAATGGTGGGTTAGTTGCGTTTTCTGCTGTTCTATACAGTTTGTGGAGACGTGGTCATTGGCCTGAACGAATGTGGACAAAATGTATAGTATACAGTGTATCTTTCATCCAAGTCCTGTGTTTTATTGTGCTTTTTCCTCAAACCAACCCATCCTGTCAGCATGACGGTGGCGAGAACTTTGGCGCCACAGTGAAAGCAGCTACATTTGTCCACGCTCGCTCCAAAAATCTTGTTTGTTTTAGGTAGGTGTAAACCAACAGAAACCTATCGTTTGGGCCTCCCTTCCTTTACCGTTCACACTAGGAGATCCTATTGCATCATCAGCTACGGAGCTGTCGCGCAGGCCGTAGGCGCTGGTGAAACGGGTGCCGCCAAGTGGTGCCTGGAGAGACAAACCTGCCATATAAGACTTCGGAGCCTGGTCCAATCCCCATCTTACTGCTGTTTTTTCCCTTTGACATGAAATGAAAACAAATCCGTATCTGACTGAGTTTCAAGGGAAATTCACAGGAAAACAGAAATGTTGCGCGCCTTCCAAAATCGGGAGGGGTCCCTGCAAGTCTTCCATGAAAACCATGGTGTCACTAGTCAAGATCATTGTTTTTGTTGGTGGTATTCCTGTAGTCTTATTTGTGCGTATTCTAGTTTTCTGGTTTCCAATTCACCTCAGAATTTGCTACTTATGTCGCCAGTATTTGTGTCTGATGATTGCATCACCGTTTGTCATTAGCAATATTACCCTATTTTACCGTAGGTGTATATATATTTTTTTTTTTTTTGGTTGCTAGCTTTATCCCACTTACAATCACGTGGTTCTTTACAGAAGTGTGAATTTTGTTTGTTTTCAAGTTTTCCTCGCATCAACTGGCTGACAAATGACTGATTCAGCAAGACTGGGTTACCCGGTTTTGACTTTTAACAGTGCACGCATGTTTGTAGGTACAGAAAGTTATGAGCCGCCTACTATCACTTCCTAACCACTCCCCTCTGTAATCTAAGTTGGCAATTTGTATGGACTATTTCCCCATGTCTTTGATAAATGCTTATGTTGTTGGCTAAAACTTTTTTGTTGGATAAATGATCATCTTCATTTACTGAAAGCTCCACGATTCTGTTGATTAAATTTAGCCAGTTTACCCCATGTCTTTCATCTTTGTTTATTGCAATGCCCATGAAAATCCTCACTTCGGAAGTTTATCCCACCACTGGCACCACGCCAACTCATTTCGCCGGCCACGAGACCTCACAGTCACACCTCGGAAGAACCATGGCTTTCGGAAATTGCCCTCTGTCCCATTTAGTTCGATGACTTACCTACCAAAAAATGTTGTTGTTGATGTTTGTGTTGATGTTGATGTTGTTGATGATGATGATGATGATGATGATGTTGATGATGATGATGATGATGCTGATGATGCTGATGATGCTGATGCTGATGATGTTGATGATGCTGATGATGCTGATGGTGCTGATGCTGATGATGCTGATGATGCTGATGATGCTGATGATGATGATGATGCTGATGATGCTGATGATGCTGATGATGCTGATGATGCTGATGATGCTGATGATGCTGATGATGCTGATGATGCTGGTGATGCTGATGATGCTGATGATGCTGATGATGCTGATGATGCTGATGATGCTGATGCTGATGATGCTGATGATGCTGATGATGCTGATGGTGCTGATGCTGATGATGCTGATGATGCTGATGATGCTGATGCTGATGATGCTGATGATGCTGATGATGCTGATGATGCTGATGCTGATGATGCTGATCATGCTGATGATGATGATGATGATGATGATGCTGCTGCTGCTGCTGGTGGTGGTGGCGGCGGCGGCGGCGGTGGCGGTGGCAGTGGTGATGGTGGTGGTTGGTGGTGGTGGTGGTGGTGGTGGTGGTGGTGGTGGCGGCGGCGGCGGCGGCAAAGCCAAGATCAAGTCACCATGTTTCTTGGTGAGTCTTCACCACGCTTGTTGGTCGAAGCCCTACTTCTGCTGGATAAATCCCATCTTTTCTGACCAGATCCTCTTCTTTGGTTGACTATGGTTTTATCCATCGCAATTTTTAGTGCTTCAATCCACATGTTTCTTGCTTGAATCCCTAGTTCCATCGGCCAAAATCTCATGTTTTTATGGTAAGATCCGCTCCTTCGGTATAATATGGTTAACCCCAATGCTTAATGTGTGTTGGTTAAATCCATGTGGTTTTTTCGCAGCTGAGCTGAGTATGATCACATCCTAAATTCTTCTGAAATCAACATTTCAGGTGAAATCCCAATTTTTGCTGATGAAATAGTGGAATATTAGTGGTTAACTCACCACTAATAACCACTAATAACCACTCTTAACCACTAATAACCACTATCACCCATTATCGCATTTCTATTCCACCTCCAGCAGTTTCCCAGAATCTCTTGTTCGCCACGGGGCCATCCTTCCCGTTTCAGGATGGTCTCCACAAGTTCCAGGCAGTGCTACGAAATCCGAATCTCCGGGAGACCTGGGGGAGATCACCATTTTTCGTGGAAAAATTGAGTTTCTTTTTTTTTTAAGTTGGTTTATGAACCATTATAATCCCCATTAACTATAGACTAGTTCGTTATATCTACCATAAACCACAATTAAACCACTTATAAACCAACTGAACGCTATCGACTGGGGGCCCCATGCTGTGGAAAAAAACATATTTTGAATGGTGATATCATGGATGGAAAACACCATTTTTTTTGGAAAATTAACTTTTTTTATATGGGGATATACGGAATTCTGGTTTTGAGATGTGTTAGAAAAAGCCTGCCCTCATGCCAACCGCTTGAAACGGGAAGGTTCTTGACCAACATGTGGATAATGGGAATTTACTGGGTTTCTAATGCATGGCATATATATATAATATTATATAATTATATAATTATATAATTACATACATACTAGCACCCATTATGAGGATTCCCTGGCGATGGGATGGGTGACTATAACCCATATACTTGGCGGTTCCAGTTCGTTGGGATTCACCCAGCAACCAATCGGGGGTATAACTTGGCTTTTTCCCAGTTGAATTTGGGATTTTTTCCAGAAACAAAAATGGTTTTACAATGGAGTTTAACATACGTGAAAATTATACAAAAAAGCCAAGTTCACCAACATTTTAACTTGAATAAAACGGTTTTAATCAACAAGATATTGGCATTGGGCTGCCTAAATGGACGCTTCGACGAACAAAACCGAGCATTTAACTAGAAATGGAGAATTTAACCAGCAGAAATGGAAGCTAAGCAAAAAAAGTGTCCAGCCAAGAAAAACATATGGTGATTGATGGTGATATGATAAGTATATATATATACATATATGGTATCATCCAGCAACAAACATTGGATGCAAAAACCCATTGGGTGACTGCTCTGAATCCCTGGGCAGCTCGATGATTTCATGAGGACATCCTGAACAGGATCTAACCCCTGAAACCCCTGATGCTTGGGGGAAAGCCAGAAAAATCGCGACATGACATACGGAAACCAACAGAAATTGGGATTCACAAAAACCAAAACGAAATTTTCCAGTTGACACAGAAATTCATGATGTTAGCTGGGACGGCTGTTTCAAATATTTGCATTGGATCTATTCAGGGGTCGCATCCAGATCTACTACATTTCACCAGGCTACACCTGGTCATCTTAGAAAATTGACCCAAAATAACATGGACCCTGGCAAATAGGGTGCTTCAGAAACTTCAGACTATATTCACTATATTCCTCTTCAAAGCTCGTGATTTTCAGGGTCTTAGAGTCTATGTTTCTTGGGAGATGGTAGTTGGATAATGATCTTCCTCCATGTACAGCAACACTTCACCCATTTTTTCAACCTATCAAACTCCCACAGTTTCAGCAGAAAATGCGATGAAAACCGAGGGCACCGACTCGACCCAGAGACGAAGTTGATCTGCCTCATTACTTCCGGTGAATTCTTCACAGTAGTCGATAATCTGCGGGGCGGACAGCGCTCGGGTTGCCCGGAAATTTTGCGGATGGGGATAAAATAAGTATACGAAAAAAGTGGGATTTGGCCAAGGACAATGAGGATTGCTAATGGAATGCTAATGGTATATAGGCCAAAAAACACATCGGCGGATACTAGTATGATACTGCATGTATCAATTGCCAAGCAATTTTTTAGGCTTTTCCAGGTGGATTTTTGTGGGATCCATATAAGGTCCCTCCAAAAATTCATGGCCACACGGTACGAGTTGCATCCAGAGGCCCTGCTGCCAGTTGTAACTGGCTTGTAATTCTACCCGGCCTGGTAAACATACAAAAAGCTATTGAAAATGGCCCAGTCGAAATAGTGGATTTACCCAGCTATAAAATGGTGATTTTCCATAGTTTTTTGTTAACGTTTACCAGAGGGTATGTCATGTGCTGTGAACAGTGTGAAAAAGACTCTCTGAAATTTTCTACTATAGTGGTTGGTCGATGGGAATTTCCTGGAATGCATAATGATAATCATTGATAATCCCCAATATATTTGGGCAATCAACCCCCTATACTCATCAACTAAAAGAGCTTTTCATGCTCATGTAATTCCATGTAGCTCGTGTAGTAGCCCTCGGAGCAGTTTTTTTTGCACCCTGATATGTGGATCGATCTGCTTTCCTGGGGGTCAAACTGGGTCATGGAAATCGAACGACAACCCAAAGGTACCCAAACAAGGGGGAGCCAGTTTATCCGTTTATCCACTACTTCCATGGCCATACCTCTGGTCGAGAAGCCTGATGTCCAGTGTCGTGTGGTAAACCCAAGAATAAACCTCCAACTGGGGGATGATTGAGTATTGGGAATACCACAAAAACACCCATGCAAAAAATCATCTCTAAGATTTTTTTCGGCACCCCTCTGTTCTAACAGAACCAGCCCATAGCAAAAGAACATCTAGACACGGCTAGTCTTGGATACCAGGTATTTGTTGACAGGATATTGCTGTGGCTATGGCTCCAAGATTAACCCATGGAAGCGACTTGAAGTGGTGAAAATCCCACGAATCGTAAGCAGGTTCGTTCACCCCAGTTGGATAAGTCAGGAAAAGTAGGAGCAAAGTCCAATTCTAGGGGTGACAACTTGCCCACTTCCTAACTTGTTAAACCATGTTAAACCCATGTTTTCTTCTGTTAAATCCCAAATTTAACTGGTTAAACGTCCATCATTTCTTGCTGTATAAAATCCCCAAGCGGGCAGCAAGCAGGGCTGAATCTTCAGCACTGGGATCATCCCCACAGTCCCACAACATCCCCAGCCTCAAAACGATGGTCTAAGGCCATCTTTACCTGCCTGAAGGGACCAAACCCCCGCAACAGGTGAGTTGGTTTATAAATTAAACATCATAAGTAGGATTAGGTAGGCTAAGTAGGCTTGATGGTGGACACCGTTTTTCTTAGACGATCTTGGATGGTGGTAAACAAACAACTTGTAACCCGGGAAAAAAAAACTGTCGTGCTTTTGTTCCCTGCACCTGGAGAAATATGGGGACGGGTCAAAACTATTGATCCCAAAATGAATGGATTGATATCGGAAAGTACAAAAATGACAAAATGGGTGTGGGCCCATTGGCACTCTATGTTTTGACTCTACAAATCTACTGTAGTTGCTTTCGAGTATAAACTCATGCATTTGGGGGAAAAATCCCGTGGAGCCATAAAAAAGTAGAAACTCAATGCTTGGTTGGACACGTGTCTACCTGAAAACTATGCACCGGACATTGGCGGCACCAGACTTGGATCCTTTCATCCTTAAACTAAAACATTGACCAGGACCGCACACTGATAAACCCTGCTTCCATCTAGAAATGCGGTCATAGACCGCCAGAACTCGTGTGGTTTGCCCAGGGATTCGATATATGGGTCACAACAACGAGAAAAAACGCTTGGATGGGCCGTCCAAATCCGTCCAAAGCTTCCAGGCGTGCTGAGCCTATCGACTCTTGGATCCCGTTATGGTCCATGTTTGGTGGCTCAAAGCCAGTTTTTGCAGCTACACGGTGAAAAAACAACCATATCTTGTCCATTTGGTGTCTGGGATGTCTGGGAGGCTTTTCTGATTTTTCTGGGCATTCAGCGGTACCAGTCTTCAGGGGTCCCCAGTCTGATTCTTTAAACATCGCCTGAGTTGGGATCGAAAAGGTCCCTGCGATTTGTTGTACCGTTTGTTTGGTTCTTCAGATCTCCACTTTTGTCACAAATCGAAGGAAAATTGAAAAAAGAAACTAAGTCATATTTCTATAGTTCATTAGTTAACTATAATAAGTTTATATAACTATATAACTATAAGAAGTAGTTCATAAAAATAACTATAAATGGCTTATATTTCTATACTTCATGAGTTTGCCTGGTGATCCCATCCTCCTCATATCCTGACTGTCAGGAACCGTCGACTCAGTCAACTTTTTGAGAGCTAAAGTCCAACTCATAGTCGCTTGGTGTGTATATGTATACATTAGCAGCATTAGCATGTATCTGTATTATCATGTGCATATATATACAGTATATCTACAGTATATATATATATATATTAATTAATCAATTACATCATTTAGAGGTAAAAAAAACATGAGAGGCCCCATAATCACGTCACGCGATCACCAGTTCCATCCTTGGTTCCGTGGTTTTTCTCGTTTACCTGAAAAGACTGTCGATGATCAATCCATTGTTTACCATTGTTCATTGCCAACCATAGAAAATCTGCCACCAATTTCTAGGAAGAAGTGGTTGATTTAAAAATGTTTCCATCTATAGTAAAGCCGTCCAAGATTAAGCCAGACATTTTCCAGCCGTCCAAGATTTTGTGCTGTAAATTCATCGTCCGCGAGATCCATGGAGAAAATCCCCAAGCCTGTCTCGATGATTGCCCGCTTCTGAAAGGATGTGTCCAGCGATGCTCCACCTGAATCCCCATCTGGGAGCTTTTCGCGGCTGGGGAACTAATTTCTGAACGGTGGACGGGATGCAAAATATGGGTCTTATCATAGTTTTATCCAAGGTGGTGATAAACAGTTGATGGCTGATTGTTGATGGATTATTCCAGGGAGGTTTATGACCCCATAAAAATTCGGGATTAGAGCATCCAAAAAATCACTTCTCAAATGGTCCAGGTGGGTAAATGTAAAATGGAGCAACTGAGCAACATTCAGATTGAGTTTTACAGTCATTCCAAACAACAGGAGACTGGGCCAATCCTCTTTGCAAATGATGCAACGGATGACTCCCCAAAGTCATGGGGGATCCCCGTCACAATGGATTTGAATACTAAAATACCTAAGTTATGAGTTATGGTCGAATGACTTGGATGATTGGGGGGTACCCCCATGACTTTGGAAACCTCCATTTCTAGAAAGTCGGGATGGCGTCTTCGTAGGCTTACTACATCCCAAGATCCCAAAAAGGGATGCTGATGACCCAGGTCTGCTATCTTCACTCAAACGGCTGGCGACGTTTCAGCTTTCACAAGGAACGGTCAGTTCTTCTGATTAATGGTCAACCAAGCATCTATCATTTGTTGCTATATGCATGTGGATTGAAGCCCCGGTCCCCTGGTTTTCACAGAAAAATAGTTGGTTCTGATGTTCATCCCAAAGATCTCACATGTTTTGCGTTTGACTCATCTCCCTAGAATCTATTAGCATCATATTTCAACTCATCATGATTCATCATGTTCGAACTTATTCGTCTTCGGATTCAAAACGATCCATGTCCACCAAGCATCTGGGCACATCTGAAATCAGCCCAGATTTGGGGTTTCCTTGCAAGTCATCATTTGGCTAGCGAGGCTCCAAAAACTAGGTGACGGCGCCTGTAAGAGGCCGTGTTTTTATGCTCATCGCATTTGCACCGATGAAATCAATTGCTTCAAAAACCCAAGGTTTTTGCACATTCTGATTGAAGTCCATCATGAATCTAGAGAATAAAACACTGTAAGGCTGACCGAGGACATGCGTTTTTGGAACCCCTCGCAGCATTTTCATCACTTTTTTAACTCTTTGCCGGCGCGCCTGAAGTTTCAAGTGCTTTTTTTTCGGCACTCTTCTGCCAAAGGTATTTGCGTAATGCATGATGAACATACTTACCTGAGAAACCTGTAATGAAACCATGTTCAAGTGACACATATGTGTGGAATTAAGCATTAGATGCATGTAGAAAACTACATCTTGGGTAAATATCTTTAAATCAAAGAAAGAACTTGCTAACACACCCCCAACAGCCCCCAGCGACCGCAACGTAGCATGACAAGAGTGCGCAAGTGCAAAAGAAGAGCTTGTGAACGTAGCATCACGTAGTTGTATACCTTGAAGGGACCGTGCAGTAGCGTAGCATCACGTAGTTGTATAACTTGAAGAGAACGTGCAGTAGCGTAGCATCACGTAGTTGTATACCTTGAAGAGAACGTGCAGTAGCGTAGCATCACGTAGTTGTATACCTTGAAGAGAACGTGCAGTAGCGTAGCATCACGTAGTTGTGTAAATTGAAGAGAACGTGCAGTAGCGTAGCATCACGTACGTGTGCAAGTCCAATGAACGTTAACATCCCCCCCACCCACCCACCCAGCCCCCCACCCCAGTCAACGTAGCATCACGTAGTTGTATACCTTGAAGAGAACGTGCAGTAGCGTAGCATCACGTAAGTGTGCAAGTCCCATGAACGTTAACATCCCCCACCCCACCCCACCCCCCAACGAACCGTAAAAGACGAGACAGGAAAAATGACGTACGCGCACGGCCTCTTAGAGGCGCCGTCACCAAAAACTAGTCATCATTTGGCTAGTGAGGCTAGTGAGGTTGTTAAAACTACCCTCTGGTAAACTAACACAACTATGGCATGGAAAATCACCATTTTTAATGGGTAAATCCACTATTTCTATGGCCATTTTCAATAGTTTTTTGTATGTTTACCAGAGGGTACTTGCTTAGAAACTTTCAGAAATGCTGACTCAACCTCCATTTCTCTAGACCTCAACTCTTGGCCAGTTCAAAGCCACTTCACCAGCAGCTGGATCACAAGCTATTCGCTTGGCATCCCCAATCTAGTTCATGTGGTTAAAACAATGTCATAAACCATCCCCCAGTCATCACCATAAATTGGTGGGATTCAAAACCATTCCCAAATGGGTTTGTCGGAAAATAGGGTATATTCCCAATTATAGTCATTTAATAGGGATAATAATCATTAACCATTGGGTTTAGGGGTACACTATTTTCAGACAAACCCAAATGGTTCGTTTCTTATTGTTTTAACCACGTTAAACCCCTTCACCATCCACCCATCCCAGGCACTCTCCATTGGCCAAGGCATAGCACAAGGGCCTCAAAAACATCGGGACCAAGGCAGCACGCACTATATGGTGACAAAACACCAAGATTTTCACAGCAACTATAGGGATTTGACTGCATAGTCACTAGATATCATCAAGATGTTGGAGATGTCATCTGTGGCCACGAAGAAGTTTCGCGGTGGTTTTAACAAGATGTGACCAACATATTGGGATTTAAACTACTGTATGTTGGTTTGATCAGCAGAGAAAAATCGAAAAACCGCGTGACATTGACTTGTGTTACCTCTACACATTATTTCTGAGATCTTGAACGTTTCACATGCCATTAGATTAATGAATTTGCTTTGGAACTAGGTTTGACCAACAAACCTGAGGCAATGATCCAGACTGTGTTGAGTTTTCACCGATAAAAAAAATCAACCAAGGATCTGGCGCACAATTCCCAAGAAAAAAACACACCACAAACCAGGAAAAACCAACTATTTTATTGGATTCAGTCCTCATGTTTTGCTAGTAAAACCTCATTGTGGTTAGTGAAAACTCGACAAAATTGATGCTAAAATACCAAATTCAGGCGGTACTTGAGTTAGGACGTACTATTCGCCTATTGAGATGATCCGTGCACTCATGCAAAGTAGTCAACAACTAGGTCACAATTTTTTAGCTTACAATGAATGTGATTTTTAAGAGAATAATATATATATATACACTTTTGCATATATGTGCCTAATGAGTGAATACTGTATATATTTATATGCATGTGTGTTGCTTTTGTTTTGTGTATATAATGGATTTTTATTTATGTATATTTATATATTATATATATAATTATATATATAATTATATATATATATCCCAAATCTCGAGCTACAAACGATGACAATCGTTGTAAATGGGTCAGGTCCTTGGGGTTGATGGGCCCAGGAACACTTTTCATACTATGTGGTGTCCCTGTTAAATTATGAAATATCTTTCTTAGAAAGTGTTTCCATACATTCCCATATATAAGCCATAGATATCCATAGATATCAAACTGGAGATTGTTCATTTATCCCACTGGGCCATTCAACCATCTATCATCATTTACCTGTTGGTCAAAAAGGGGGTGAACCCCTGTATTAATCAATCAACCAGTTACAAAAAAAAACATCTATAGTAGCGCTCGTCGATTCATACATTTTCTTCAACCGCGAAGGATGGAAAACTTTGGCCGCAGAAGGCCCTTCCGACATCCAGCCAGGATCGTCACGGGTGTGCATCTCAACAGTGTGTTTATGTCAATTTCGAAATGGAGAAAGGTTTGGTAATATGATAAAACATAACACAATGTGATATAACATGTGACAATATGACACATCATAACATAACATAGTATTATATCATTGCATACTGCACTATGCTTGCATTTTTTCACAAGCGCTATGTAATTCATGTTGAGCCACACGTCTGCAGCAGCATTCCGTCTGCCCCATGGAAAAACAATTTGCAAAAAAAAAGTGACTTGAAGGCAAAACCTGAAATAAAAACACAGTGATAGGACAGTCTCAGTTTGGAGAATGCTGCAATGCCTCCTGGGCAGGGGACTTGAAGCCCCTTGAATTTTTGACTCTGAGGGAGTGGCTTCAGCAAACAAAGATCGGGGATCAGATCAGGGGGGTTTACTTAAGCTAGGTTTTTTTAATTGGGTGCGCATGGGACAAAGGGATGGAAAGAGGATGCTTTCAGGATCAAAACGTGCAGTGGTTCATTATGGTTCAGAACTTATGCTGGCATGCTTTTCTGACAATCATATGACTGGATGGCAGAAACCCAAAGCACACAACGTTCGTCTCACATGGCATGGCACGAGATTTGCAACTCACATAGTTTCGGAAGCTAAGTGATACAGTGATCCCCACCAACTGGATATATCCTGCGATTTTATCTGGCATATTTTCTGATACTTTGGCGCATGTTCAAATATATCATGTGAGATATGTTCTGACATGTCAGCGCACATGTATTTTTACATGTTTTTCTGTTTATCGGCATTCTCTGTGCCATCTGTTTGGCATTCTCTGAACATTTTGTCCGCCATTCTCTTGTACCATCTTTCTTGGCGTCCTATCTGACCCGGCAACTTCTCTGACATCTTAAAATGACATTTTATCTTACATGTTTCGCCCTATCTGGCATCCTATCTGACATGTTATCTGCATGCTATCTGACGCTTTATCTGGCATTCGATCTGGCATTTTATCTGGCCTTGAATTGGCCTTTTTAATGTCGCATTCTAACTGAGGTATGTTCTGATTCTTTTGTTTGGCACTCTCTCTGACTGACCTTTTCTTTGGTATTCTACCTGACACTTTTTCGCAATTATTCATCTGAGATTTATCTTGCAGTCCGCGCGACCTGTATTCTGACACAGTCAACCCGACATTTTGCCAGTCAGGTACTTCAGGGCCAACATCCCCATATAATAGTGAAAGCCTGTCATCCCCAGACTCACCCATGTCAGCATGGCTGCGCAAGAAAACAACCACATACCATCCTCTTTTGTGCCTCTTTTCTACCTGCTTCACACCTCAAGTGGCTAGACAAGCTATAGAAAATCCTTACTAAACTAAACCCCCCTGATCTGACCCCCAATCTCGGGTTGGGGATGACTTGGTGTCACTCTGGGATGTAGACTTATAGGTTGTATCTTTTATAAAATTGGACGCAAAGTCCTGGACTCCGTGTATCTAGGAGCAGATCTGCAGCAAGAAGGAGCACCTGAACAATGTAGGATAAAACATAAAAGATTAGACGCAGAGTCCTGGTCTGAGACTTGCGAATGATGAACATGAATTGGGGTCAAAATGGAATTGCTGAAGATCGAATACATTAAGTTCGTTAAAGCCAGTGGCATCGAAACGGGGACAGCGTGGGCTCCAGTAAATGCTGCTAATTTACACCTAGCACACGGGGCCCGATGGAATTGGCTAGGTGGAACCAACCCACCGAAAAAAAAAGAGAAATTGGCAAACCAAAGGAGAAAGCCACTAAAAAGGAGTCAGGCCCCGTGACGCACAGCAGGGTTCGTGATTGTCTCTCACTTTGGAGCACTGTGCCACAGAAGGAGATGAGTAACTCGCAGGGGTGACCGCGGTCTCCCGGCACGCCTCTGGCGGCGCCCTCTAGCTTTAGCTGCCAGGAAAGGGAGTAATGTCGCTTGGGAAAACTGTACAGGCACATAAGTCCAGCAAAAGAAAAATGTGCATTCCAGCTGCATATAGGAGAAAGCAAAGTTGGAGAGGATGTGCAAGACATGCCCCATAGTCTCGAAAGTGGAGTTGACAGTGAAATATCGGGAAAATTGTAGTAGAACTTTGCCGGAATCGAATTGGGGTGATGTCAGTAGGATAAATGTCCTGGCCCCTTCTGTTCAGCAAAGATATGTACAGTCCAGCCGCATATAGGAGAAAATGAAGCTGGAGACAATGTGCAAGACTTCCCCCATAGTCTCGAAAGTGGAGTTGATAGTGAAAGATACAGAAACTTGTAAATGGAGACGGTGTCGAAGTAGTAGAACTTTGCTGGAAGAGAAGCCCGGAGAAAAATACTGTCGATGACCAAAGCTTGCCGCGAGGTCATGGACCAGTGTAGAGCCTCGGATGTATCCTGATACTTCTGGACATAGAGTTGCCAGAGAAATGTAGCTGGAAGGAGACATGTACTTGTACTGGAGATCGAAACGTCCATGGCGAGCATGCCAAAGGAAGAGGATGAATCCTTATTGGATGTATCCTTATAAAACTGGGGCCGGCAGACGGTGAGCGAAAATGATGGCTAGCTAAGCTTGTGCCCGTGCCTTTGTTTGTTATATATATGTATATCCACATAGTTTACATGCATAATATATATCATATACAATGTCATTTATATATATATTGTGAAAATATGTATGTATGTATATATGCACAATAAATGTATGTAAGTTTAATAATATATGAACCCGATGGTTCTCGAAACAGGTGAGCGCAGACCCTTCACACCCACCAGGATATCAAGATGGACTCATTTAGGTAGGACCACCCCAGCTGGTGCCAAAACGCTCGCAATTTCACCTAGGTCAGGCATAGCCCGAAAAGTGCAGGACAAGGTCCGCAACAAAAACGTGCCAAGTAGGGTCAAAAGTTCAAAGGCAACCATTGGATCTTCAATTTAAAGAGGCTTAAAACTGCGAGAACGAGATCATTTTGGGGGATTGCCTCATGTTTGATCGACGATATGGTCTATGATTTTTTTGACCCAAAGGCCATTTTAACACACACACCCTTCTTGACTCTTGGAGTGCAAGGGGCGTCAACGGTTGAGCCAGAGGGGCAGGTAGCTCACCCATTGGCGTGGAAGGAATCACATGTTTTTTTGCTCGAATCACCATGGTTGCTGGTTCAGTGATGCAAAATCCATCTTTGAATCCTGACCAAAATCCATCCAAAATGGAGGTCGGGAGGTGGTAACCATTGACCGTACGGATGGTGGACAGTGCCTTCCCCACCGTGGCTCTTTTTTTGCTCACAGCTCAGGCATCAGTGCCAAAACCTGCGCCGAGTCCGCGAGATTGATCCATTTGGGTCTGTCACAAACCAATGAATTGCCAAATTATATAGTTGGGACATGTTAGGACATGATGATCACCATTGGATTTTAGCGGAACCCCATTCTCACACAACTCAAACTATTGCTTGTTGAAACCTACTCGTTGTTGGGCACAAAGCATTTTCCTCAGTAGAACAAAAAAAACTTCTACAGGAGGTATCTGCAGGGGGTAACCACTATTCACCTAACATTTCAAGCAACAAAGGTTTGATCAAAGGGCAATTGACAGAAAACCCACTCTCTCGTTGCAAACATATGGGCGCCGCCTTGGGCCTTGAGAGCTGATGGTTGAAACACCCGGCTCCATTAGCATGGTCGTGTCAAACAGATTGATGGGTGTCATCCATCCATTGTTGGGAATCATGGGCCACATGGGTATATAAATCCCTAGTCGTGGATTCATGA